ACGACTACTAGTACGACTACGACGACGACTACGACTACGACTACGACGACGACGACTACGACGACGACGACGACGACGACTACTACTACTACTACTACTTGTTTTCTATTATTATCCGTGTGCCAGGTGCCAGCCTGTCGGAGTTTCCGTTTGCTGGACATACAACAACCCCGAGGTGAGGAGTTCCTGGGTTTTGGATGGGTCCCCAGTGGATGAGACAAGAGACATTGCCAGGTTCAAGACTTGATCGCTCGGGAGACATGGCTATGGGGCAAGGCAGGGTCAGCACCTTGAGCATTTTTTGCAGCCCGTGCTGCGGAGGGTCGAGACAGTTGTGGTCCCATGAAATCCACCAGCACCATGCCCGAGCCCACAGTCAGAGATCGGTGTCTTTCGAGCAGCCACTCCTCAGAATTTGTTTCGTTCAGGTCGGATCATGGGAACTCCTCAGGTCGGCTGCTGCGGAAGCAGCGGGGACGTTCGACGCTACTTTGCTTACAGCATGACAGCATGATGTCACAGGACGCAGCAATTTCCGCTGCATCTTCGAAAAGTTGAACCAACTGTTGGCTGCGGCCTCGGTCTTGACACCAATGACCAAGTCTGTCCCCTTTTTTACCATGCGCCCGTGTCTGCAGGCTCCACCATTGCAACTCGAGGCAAAGGTTGTCTCAAGAAGAACGGACGCCATGGTTTGCATCAGCCATGAGGATGCGGAGCTCGGCAAAGCCAGGCGGCATGAAGAACGTGCCGGCGCCCGAGACCGGCATGCGTGTTGGATGCGGCTGGCCCTCTTGCAGTGCAGGCTGCTGCTGTTGCCAGGGATGCCGTCTCCACGAGCAGGGCCCTCGCGGCTAAATGTTGCGGCGCTGTGATGTGCAGCAGACACAAGACGTCTGTGGCGATGGGTGAGGTTTCATGTACGCGATATTCGGCACAGAGCACTCCCTGCTTTTTGTTTCCGGTCTCAGAGAGAAGCCGTGTCGTGCCCGATCCCGCCAGGATCGATCGGGACGGGATCCGAGAACGTTTTGCCTTTGGCCTAGTTTCGACCTCTGACCGATGGGTATTGTTTCGAGGACCATGCCAAGAAGGTCTTCTCCAGTGACTCCGAAGTGCCGCTTTACATGGGGATCGGGTCTCAGACTTCGAGATGTCTGGCTGGCCTATAAACTCCTCTCGCCACCAGGCGACACCCCATCCGGCAGGATCCTGCCGGTGGAGGCTCAGAGCCAGAAAGCGTGCTCTCCCGAGTGCCAAGAGGGAAGATTCCAGAACTTCCAGGGCTTGTAGGCTGCCGGGATCTCTGCAGGTTCTTTGGAAGAACTTCCAGTGCGACCTCAAGGCCTGGCCGCCGGGAGCCCTGCCGGGAGGCGCTGCAGCGAGCACCGCCTGAGGTTGTGCCATACAAAGTGATGGCTTCTATCGCCGGTATAGCCGTTTCAATATTGTTTTGGGGTGGCGACCTGAGAGATGCTCGTTTGGGAGTGGCGAAATGGATCGTGGACGCGCGGAAGGCGTCTTCTTCTACTTTCCCTTCGCGGTGTACGAGGCACTTGGTTGTATGGCCTTCAGCTGTCCCGGCGCGTTCGGCCTGTGGCATTGCGAGGCATGGTCTTACTCTGCACTGAGCCAGGGACTTCTAGAGGGGCCTGGAAAGCACCTTGTTCGCTGTGTCACGCCGAGGCCAGCCGACCGACTTTGCATCGGAGACAACTTTCAGCCTGCTGGTAGTGGCCGCATGTCAGCATGCAGGGTGATCATGAGATCGGCATCGTAGGACCTTCACATGGAACTGCACTCCCGCAAGCAGCGCATGTCTGTGGTTTCAGGTTGGCAACCAGCTCTTGTACTTGCTTTGCGACAAAGCCTCCAAGCATATCGGCTTTCGTTTCGCTTCGCGCTCAGCTGAGACAGGGGATGCATGGTTGCAGCTTGGATCTTGTGCCCGAGAGGCAGATTTCGGCGCAAGGGATGTAATTCAGCACGGTTTCCCGTGGTTATCCAATGAGGACTCGGTTTCACTTGTATTTAATGTTGAAGTTCGTTTGCAACTGCGCACGCCAGCTGTTTCTTTGTTCCGGAGTGGTTGGAGAAAGTCGGTTGGCCGGACGCCTGGTTGGTCTCTTGCCTGGAGGGTCCCAGTGCGAGCACCGACTGGGTAGTTTCTTGCGGCACTCACGGAGAAGTCAGTAACAGCTTGCCTGTTGTCCACGGGGATAGCACCTGCTTTATGTCAATGACCTTCAACTTGCTATTAGTGTTCATTGTTCATCTAGGCACACGAAGCTCGAGCGCTCAAATGCAAGGCGCACGGAGAACTATGGACGCAAATCCAATTTCCGAGAATGGCGGTTCGTCTATCCTGACCGATCCTGCGTTGAACACTCCTCCAAACCCAGTACCGAAACGTCAGAAGAAAACTGACATCTGGAATCATCCAACCTGGCTTCAGCTCCTGAGGCCAGTCAGGAGCTGGCTGCCTACACGGGCCTTTACACGCCAGCAGCCCCAGACTTCAGGCGTCAGGTGCTTGTGGGAGTCGGGGTGGCTCTGATGGCACCTCCGGATGATCTTGGGATCGCGACAGAAGAAGGCATAGCCACAATCCTGCATGTTGCCACTCACCCATGACGGGCAGGGCAAGAAGAGTTAGGATCAAGTGTCGCAGTAAGCCTTTTCTTCTCGCAGCGCTCTGACTAGCATTTCAAGTGCTCGGCTCCGACATCGTTGCGCCAAGGCCATGTCAAAGAGCCGCAGCACATGAACCAATGAAGTTCCAAGGATGGCTTTGCTGTCCAACATGTTCATCGACATGTGGATCCTGTGGTACACGACGACCACAGCGACGGAGAATCTGGGTCCTCCAAGCCCGCAAGGCGATAGAAGCCATGAGATGCACTTTTCCTCCAGGCCTCGAGGTGACATGGCGCTCGTTCCTCCTAAATCAGGAAGAGCCGGGTGCTCAGAAGACTTCAAGCCGCGGCGGACTGCCACCTGTCATGTGCCTGGAGGCGAGTGAGTTTTCCACTTCGGGTTGTGACCTTAGCCGGCCTTGTTAGCAGATGTTAGCAGGCCTCAATGAAGCGACTGATGACTGAGGCCAAGTTGGGCGAACGCCTTTATGCCTACAACTTTCCCTCTTGCTTCTTGCTGCCCTTCCTGCCAGGATCTCTGAGAGAATGCGTTGTGCTCACGTGGTGCTGACTTGCAGTAAGACTGAGGTGTGAAGCCTTGCTGGCGCCCTGGTGTGTGCAGTCCAGGAACACGGCCACCACTGATGCTACCACATGTTACGACTGAAGTGACGGAACTGCTTTGACGGTCAATCTTCCTTCACTCCCTCCAACTCGACAGATCGGTTGACGAACAATGCAAGAGAACCGACGATGTCAACCAAAGATTGTAGACTTCTGTATGTGTGCACACGAATGTTCTTCGGGATTGAAACTTTGCGCAGGAGTATTTGCTCGATCTTCGCTCTAGTACAGTTTGCATCGGCTTGTTGATGCATGCAGCCTCAAAGCAAATTGGCGGCTCATACCAGCTCTTTATAGCCCTGATTTGGATACTTACTGTTCGCAAGCCGACGGAAGCCCCTGCCTCTGAGCGGGAGGCCTCTCCGCCAGTCAGGATCTCTTCGGCGTCCAGGCGTCCAGCAGCTCCTGTTTAGGGAAGGAGCGGTTTTCAGGGCCGAGCAGTCCTCCAAGACCTCGGCCTACTGCTTCCACCAGGGCACCGGCTAGCCGTTCCAGCATGTTTCGTCGCCGAACGGCTTGATACAGCGCTTATATACGACACGACGAAAAAAGGAGTGCATCGTGTGAAAGTACAGTTCTGGATCAACGTCGGTCGGAGTGCTCTGTATGTTGCTGGCTTCCTTTGAAGTTGAATGGAATTCTAAGTTAGGTTTGGCCAGCGGCATGTTTGCAAGTTTCAGGGCACAGGCTTCGTTGTCTCGTTCCTGTTGTTGGGTTCAAGTACTAACCTGCTACTGAAGCCCAGGAAGCGCTCTCGTGCTTCCCGGCATGTGCACTTGACAAGAGACGAATATGTAGTCGAGCTCAAGTGTCAAAGCCATCAGGCCACATGTTGTGCAATGTTGGTCAATGACGACACTCACCCGAGCCTTAACGGCTACTCATACCAAGGTTCGCGGTAATCCTGCCCTACCACGTGTACAGTAAGCTGGTGGGATCGCAGCCAATCAGCCTCCGCCCCAGAATCGAAGCAACGTGTGGAAACCTGGACATGCTCGTCATCGACAAAATTTCAACATCGCTTCAGTCCTCAATAGTGTTGCAGCAACCTGAGGTCAAAGGGGCGCAGATGCTTGCCTCCTGCGACAAGCTCAGCTTGTGGCCGGACTGCATGCCTGCAAGATGCCATTTTCAGAAAATGCCAGAAGCTGGATGTTTGTTTGTACGTGGGGGCTGCGGAGTTTGCATCATTGCAATGCCGAAGAGCGGGCTCGCTGGAGCATCTGCTATCTGAGTCATTTGAGGCCGATTACTTTCGACATGGCACGCTACGCAGACGTGGTCCAAGCCTTGGCTTGGGGGCATACTGTAGTGGCCTCCTCGACCCGGTCATGCTGAGATTTGCTGTGCGCTGCAGGTCCTCAACATGACCCAAGCTACGGTGTCGCTTTTCTTCTCTCCAGGCTCTGACTAGTCAGTTGCCGCAAGACACGTTGATATGGATTGATGGCTGCGACGCTAGAACTCGAAGTAAATTTTCCTCTGCTTGACGTTTTGTTGTACCTCCCCACGGCCGACGGCGAGGAACCGATGTTGCTGTCAGGGTTAAGGACGGCTGATTGCCAGAATGCAGCGCGGTGTGGTGTTCTTAATCTAGGGCGTAATGACGTAATGCTAATACCCACTAACTCGAGATGTTCCCTCCAGTGAAGGCTATGTGTGGCCTACATTCATCTTCTTGTTCTTCAGCCACCTCTTTGTCTATGCTTCGCGCCTGGATCTCGTGCATGTCATCTGTGTCTCAACAGATCCGCACTGAGGCATGGGATCATTACCGGGTGCTGCGGCATGTTGCTGGCTCTGCTTCTCCGAATCTCTCGCGTGAAAGTGCGCTGACGGCGTCATCTTCCCCCATCAGGTGCGACAATTCCGTTTTTCCTCGTATCGAACAGAGAAGGCTGGCCCTGGGGCTACAAGATGTTTTCAAGATTTGGAGGGCATCGTATGGCATCGTGGCAGAGTGCAGATGCTGCATGTTGCAACACCCCTGCCGTGTGCCCGCGTGTCAGCCCAAGACGGGAACAGTGGAGTCAAACAACTCATGAGAAGCGGGCCTTGTGGTTGAGCTAACGCGAGATCGAGTGTAAAGGAATGTGTGGGGCAGACGAATCATACATACATATATATATATATATGTACATGACCAAGTGTTCTGTTCGTGTTGTCAGTGGAGTAATTACAGTAGAAGGAGCGCCGGTAGAGCAAGGGAGACAGCTATGCCGAGCATCGCCATCGGGGCACGGGGGGAGGAGGAGGAGGAGGACCCCGAGAATGAAGAGGACGAGGATTTGCCGCCCTCTCCGCCCAAAAATCCACCACACCTTCGTGTGCTCTTCGTGGACATCGAGGGCGTCCTGGCTCCACGGCCAGACCCGCGGCTCCTCACCGTCCAGGCGTCCCAGTGCGTCTTCCTGCGCCGCCTCCTTCAGCGGACGGGTGCCCATCTCGTGCTCACCACTGCCTGGAGAAAGCATGGGGCATATGTCATCGAAGTCCTGAGCAACTTTGGGGTCTTCGAGGGCATCTCCAGGCCGGAGGTCGACTGCACGCCTTTCAATGCAGATGCGTCGCGGAGGGATCTGGAAATCCTACAGTGGCTAAACAGCCATCGCGGAGAAGTCGCTTCCTGGGCAGTGCTGGACACTCGTGACTTGCTGGGCTTTGCCTCGGCCCCACGACTGCAAGGACATGTAGTTCAGGTTGATGGCGAGAAGGGCCTTCAGCCAGAGCATCTTGATGCAGTGGCAGCGATCCTGGGAGAGCTACCGGACCTCGGTTCTTGTCCGGTTCCACCAGCAGTTCCGCCAGCACCTGCAGCACCCTCTTCCACCCCGTCCACCTCGGCTTCGGCATCTTCACCCTTTTCACACATTCCCATGGATGAGGGGCTCGTTTCAAAGATGCAGGGTGCGCTGGCTTTGCTTTCGACGCTGCCCGAAGAGGGATCAGCCTTTCGGCCGCCGCAAAGGTCCAAGGAGCTTCGATGTGCTCCGGACACAGAGTTTGATGCAATCTCCTTGCAAGCCAAGCATAAGTTCTCATAGTTGGCATGAAGAGTGTGGAGCCTGGCACAGCAGCTGCTCCATAAGCGAGGCATAGCGAGCCATGGAAAGGGAGCCGGCCAGCTGATTTCTAGTCATGTGCCGCACACCAGCTACTACGTCAGCTTGCTGTGAAGAGGTTGCGCAGCGGCTTCTGGCAGTGCCCGGGGCAAGCCTGGAGCTTAAAGACTATGGCGGGCCAAAAGCCTCAACTTCCTCGCTGAGGGCTAGCTGGGCACCTTTGCCCGCGAACAACATCGCACGGCGTCCGCTGAGGTCTAGCGACCTGCGTGATGTTCCAGCTCTACCAGGCACCTCGCGCGCCAACGTGCGTCTAGGTTTATGCAGAAAGGAAGTCCAGGTCTCCAGGTCAGGTGCAGAGAATGTGAAGCCCTGCTCAACTTAAAGTTCACGCAGTCGACTGCATTTAACTGTCGGTACCTGGTCCTCAGTAGATATTGCTGTCAGATTGACGGCTCGTTTTCGGAAGCCCAAGCCCAGGTACAAGCTGTCATGGCCCCAGAAGCGCCACAGCGACAGCTGGCTTATTGCTTCTCTGTCTTAGTCCAGAGGTGCGATTGTTAGCGGTGGCCAGTGGCAGTGTTGCAAACGAAAGGGGCGGAAGCAGGTGGCAAAGGTCTTGTATCAACAGGTGCCCATAAGTCCGGATGCTCTGATGCTGCCTCTCTTGCGATTCTCCTGCTGCAACAGAGAGTCGTTTCGAAGCGCACAGGGACCCGTCATCTCAGTCATCCACCGCTTCATGGGCTGGGTGGACTCGGCTGTGCAGGTTCGACCCACAACAAAGTTTGCGGCCGTGGTCACCCTCTCCGTCCCGGCCCTGCTTCACATCGCTCTGTATATGCTCCAAGCTCAGACGCTTCAGCCAGCCTTTCGACAGAATGGGAAGCAGAAAGACAAACTGCCAGTAAGCCATGAGGCTAGTCCTGGAGTATGCCGTGCCGTGGCTGGGTCGCACGGCGCATGTGCCTGCAATGCAGCGCTACAGCGAGGCTCTCTCAGCAAGAATTGCAGGGAGCAAGCCTTGTTTCACTTCCCGAGCAGGTGGCAAAGATCTTCCCCGGGAACTTCTTCAACATGAATCCTGTTCACTGTTTGCGGTCGAGGCCGCTCGGGCACTGCTGGTGCATACATACGACTGCCTGCATTTGCGCATCGGTATCCTTCTGTGCAGCATTGAAGATGGAGAGTGGGCCACGTGTCGCGACTAGAGGTACCTTCATAATCATCAACCCCCGTGCATCTTCTACCAGATCGGCAAGGATTGCTCGGGCTGGTGCATGTCTTCGTCATGCTGCTAGCAGGTAGGTGGAGTGTGATTTCCAACGGAGGGCGTCCCAGCCTCTATGAGCGACGTCGACTGCACGTTGCGGGTGCTGGGTGCAGTGGACAGGGCATGTAGCTACACGCCCCTGCTTTAAAATCCTGTGAAGGCGCAGAGTCTGGATGTAGGGAATCTGGCAACAAGGAACAGAAGCGGAAGCGCGCCGGAAATAGCAAAGCACTTGCCTGACGGCCTACGTGACGCGGCCGGAAGGAACATCTCCTGGAGCCTAATCCCAAGCTGGGATTGTTCTACAGTGCTCCGGAGTGGAACAACGTGCGTACCTCAGCCAAACATGACGTGGAGCCTTTGATGCTGCTAACACTACAATACCGTACCAACACGACTGCATCCTGGGCTTGTTTTGAAGCTTGGTTCAAAGGAGAAGACCTCCACGTTTCTGGAACTGGCACAGCCGCTGTTCCCAGACCGGCGCGGCATGCACACCGGACACCACTCAGAGGCAGCTTCAGAAAGGCATCGCCCGCTCGCAAAGGTTTGCCCGAAAGTCGCTCGGCGGAGCTTTGGCGTGGGACTTTGGACCAAGCAGGAGAAGGCACAAATCGAATTAAATTTTCCGTTCGTGCTTACTGAGGCCATGGCACACCCACGCTTCGTTTGGGGCCTCGGGGGGAGTGGCTTTTTTATCCCTGGTTCTTAGTAGGGAATGGGGGAATGGATCCCTATGATAGTCCCTTAAGGCCCCCTTATAGTAGTCCCAATAACCCATTCCCCCATTCCCTACTAAGAACCAGGGAGATTCTCGTTGCCCTTTCTTGAGCTCTTGGGGGCCGGACTAAGGCGCTGCAAGAGAGCCAGGAGGCGCCCCAGAGACTTCCTAAAATTCGACTCCAAAAATCGGGCGCAGCTCCGATTTTTGCGGTTTTTTGGTGCGTTGTTTTTATGGTTTTTGGTGTTACCTGTTGCCTCCTGGTGTCTGCCGACTGCCGTGAGCTCCGCAGCTTGCCGCCTTGTTCCCCCGATGGCCCGATCATGCCACCGAAGAAGCTGGTCTTGAAGATCGATCGCAGCATCCATCTGAAAATTCTCCATGAGGACGATCAGGTGCTTGCAGTGGCGAAGCCATTTGGAGTGCTAGCTCATCCCTCACCGGGCTTTTGGGAGAAAGGCACCATAGCGCATGCTGTGGTGGACAGAATGCCTGCAGAAATGTTAGAAGAGAGGGGCAACCATAATGAATGGGACAGCTTCATCCCTCGCTGCATCGTGCATCGCCTGGATGCTGGCACGACTGGTGTGATGATCATGGCGAAAAGTATCACATCAGCGTCTCATCTGGCACAACAGTTCAGAGCTGCCGACTTCATGTACCATGCACCCCTAGGAAAGAAGGTCTATGTGTCTCTGCTTCTGGGCGATCCAGGCGGGGCTGCAGAAAGGAGGGATATAACAGTGATGCAGAGCATCGGCCGACATCCGAAGAACGGCCGGCTCTGGGCGGTTGTTCCAGATGGCAAGCAAGCTAAGACGGTCATCCGCGTGCACGCCTTCAGCAAGAAGCACTCGCTTAGTCTTGTAACAGCTGAACTTTTCACAGGTCGAACTCATCAGATACGGGTGCACTGCTCCCATTTGGAGGCGCCCGTCGCAAATGACAGTCTCTATGCACCAGCAAGCAAGAACAAGGCCTTTCAGCAGTCGTTGGAGATAGCATTGCCCAAAGGGCGCCAGTTGCTGCATGCATGGGCGCTTGATCTGGATCACCCAACACGGGAACGTGGCGCCTTGCGGCTTCGAGCACCACTTCCGGAGGACATGGCTGCAATTGTGAAGAAAGTTTGGCCGAGCCTGGCATTGGACCCTACATCTTGGCCTGGGATGCCAGCGAGATTGCAGTCAGATGCTTCCCCGACCGGATGTGCTTCTCCACAGATCGTTCAATCTGAGCCTCAGACGCCCAGCAGCATGTAGGCGTGCTGACTTGATGTTGTAAAGGCCGTCAGACAAGCAAATCTTTGTAAGGGCGCTTGTTGTGTTGAGCCCTGTTGAGCCCAGTCCCAGAGGATCCGTGATTTCCCCAAGCATCCTGCAAAGTGGGAGGCTGACGCCACGTCAGATGCGCTGGCTGGAGTGGTGGGAGTCGTCGGACGAGGGCCGGAGATGGACATGTGAGCGGGACCTTTGGGAAGAACAGCGGCAGAAGCGACCGAAAAGCCACTCTCGGCGGCTGCAGTCTTCCGCTTCAGCGTCTTGAGTCTTTGGTTTCGACACTAGAGTGCCACTGGCAGGCCTTGACCGAGGGCAGGGACGACCAAAGATTGCCTTCTGCTTAGAAACTTCTCGCTTTCGGGCGGCTTCCGTGAATGTGATGAAGGCTTCCAGGGCTTGGGGCTGCTCGAAACATGACCTTCAACATCCTGCAACCAAGGGACTCCCCTCAGCCTTCACCTGAGGCCTCAGGCGGTCCTTGAGTGGATGTCACCCAAATTTAGGTGTCTCCATGGAAGCTGAAGCATAGCCTTCTGCTCGCAGGCAGCGGGGCCCTTGCAAGCGAAGCCTCGCCGCAGTTCGGCACTCGGCCACCGACCCCCAAACCTTGCAGCTGCACATTAAGTCAAGTTCCAAGGACCGCAGCAGGTCTGGGCAGTGTCCTCAGGACGGGGAAGGTCGTCGGAACTTGGCACAAGCTTCTTGGGCCAAGGACCGGCAAGAAAAACGCGGAAGAGCATGGTCACTTTTGCAGTGCGGAGGGCTCAGCTCAGCCTCTGACCACGCCGGAAGCAAAAGGCCCACGGACCTATGGAAAAGTGCCAAGGGCCCAAGCGGACGACGAGCCAGAGTAAGCGGCGCAGTCGCGAGCTAGCAGGCTGTGACATGTCTGCCGCATGACCGCACTCACTAAGAGCCAAGATTTTGCCACTGGAATCCATAACCAAAGAGGCTCAAGCGGGCCCAAGCCTTCAAGAGGCTCCTGATGCAAGATGAGCTGGTGCCATTCACGATCCAGGTGTCCTTCCTTCTTGGAGGCGGCGAGAGCATCATGGCCAGAGATTCCGAGTTGGTCCGAGATCTGAAAGCTCGACTTTGCGCGCTGCGGAAGATGGAGCTGGAGGCGGTGAAGCTGATTTTCCAGGGCGAAGCGCTGCCAGAGGATCGGACTCTGAAGTCCCTGGGAGTGGGCCCGAAGGCCACAGGCACCCCTGTTCTGTATGCGATTGAGGTATTTCAAGGTGCAGCCCGTGGCCGGGGCGAAAATCACGGAGGGCCTGGCTTGAGCGGCTTGAGGGTTGTCAACTTGGCAGGTGGTGAGCTGACTGTTCCTTGCCAAAGTTTCGACACGGTCCTTAAGCTCAAGCTGGCACTCCAGCCGAAGCTTGAGCTGCTACCTGCACTGATGCGAATACTCCATGGCGGTCGTGAACTCCGTGATGAAGAAACTCTCGACTTCTACGGTATTGCAAGCACATCCACGGTTTATCTTCTCCCAAACTGTGCCAGCGAAGCGCCGGGGGAGCTCCCCGAACCGGAGCCCAAATCGCCAGTAGAGGGCTTCGGCATTGCTGGCATTAACCCAGGCATGCTTATCGAGAGGAGGATCGACAGCTTTTGGTTTCCTGCTAAAGTCCTGAAAGTGACGAAAGACAATATTCTGAAAGTTGACATGCAATACCTGGATGACGGGAATGTTGAGCATGGTGTTGATTGGGTGGAATGCCGCCATGTATTGGGATCCGTGTAATCTGTGCCGCCGGCCTGAATCTTATGAGTTGTTTCACTTCGAGCTTAAGCTCTGAGGCTTACACCCTCACGACTTGCTGCCAAAAAGCTTTGCTCATCTTAATCATAAGGAGCTGAGCCAGTGAGGCGGCTTATGAATAGTAACGGTAGTAACCAGAGCCCAACGCGGACTTACAGCTGCACAGCTGTTGTGCAGCCACCTGAAGCTGCGCGGGCAAGTGTACAGTGTCTTGGACGCCAGCTTCTGATTTTCCTCCGGAGGGCATGGCAAGAAACAGCGAAGGTGCCACAATCTTCCATGGTTCACTTGCTGTTTGGTTTTAGGAAGTTGAGAGCTTTGTATTTGACACGAGTGAGCATGAGTGACCGACATACAAACCGGCCCGTTGTTTTGGGAGCTGGGAGCTATGGTCTGTTTTTATCACCGTAGCTTTGCTAGCCTCCCTGTGTCGACGCAGGTGATTGCGCTGCTTTGGAGAACAACTGCTCGGCTGGTGTCGCATGTGAAAAATCACCTGGTCTCTGCGGAAACACACGGCTAGAGTTGTCAATTCCAGTGCTTGCAAGGACTGTGACAGCTTTGCACATGTTCTGCAAGGTTCCTGAGTGAAACCCTGTGGGGCAGTCTGTGAGTGCAGTTGTGCTGTGAGAGTTTGCTGTCAGACATCTTGGGAGCAAAGTATTCCGGTGATCGTCCGTGGGGGGAGGGGGGGGGGGGCAAGCCTGAAAACCTGAGTATCCTTGTTTCTATCCACCAATCCGCCCCCCTCTCAGCGGTGGTAGCGAGAGTGCCCTCCTCGTCGCTGTGTCTTGGTTGAGTATTATTCGTGCAGATGGGGTGGTTGTGATGGCGGCTGGTGGTGGTGGTGGAGGGGGTGGTCGTACTGGTCGTCCTCGTGATGGCGGTAGTAGCAGCAGCAGTAGTCGTCTTTATCGTGGTCGCAGGAGAGGCTGCCTGCCGGCAGGGACGGCAGTCGCTTTGTCATCCAGCTGGTGGTGGTGGTAGTGGCAGTGGCAGTGGTAGTGGTAGTGGTAGTGGTAGTAGTAGTAGTGGTAGTAGTAGTAGTAGTAGTAGTACTAGTACTAGTACTAGTACTAGTACTAGTACTAGTTCTAGTAGTACTAGTACGAGTACTAGTAGTAGTAGTAGTAGTAGTAGTAGTAGTAGTCGTAGTAGTCGTAGTGTCAGTAGTGTCAGTGGTAGTGGCTGTAGTAATACTAGAAGAAGAACAACAAGTAGTAGTAGTAGTAGTAGTAGTAGTCGTCGTCGTCGTAGTAGTAGGAGTAGTAGTAGGAGTAGGAGTAGGAGCAGGAGTAGGAGTAGGAGTAGGAGTAGGAGTAGTAGTAGAAATGTAAGAATAAGATATAGAGCATATGGATGAGTATAAGTGGTTAGTAGTAGTATCAGTATTAGTATGAATAAGCGTTATTTGATGTTCGTATCTGTATTATTGGCATGTTAAGTGTTACCATTTTTCGTCTTATTGTTATTGCTAAAGTCTTTCCATTTGTGTTAGTAGTCGTCGTCGTCGTAGCAGCAGTAGCAGAAGTAGGTGGAGGAGCAGCAGCAGCATTGACACACGCACGGGTGGGCGGGTGATGCAAGATAGAGCAAGGGTGAAACAGGAAACAGGAGGTCTCACGAGAACAGCAAAGTGGCCGCAATGATCCGAGTGGGACTTCGCGGGTTTCAACCTCTTGCAGCAGGCGGCTCAAACCAGAGCAGTACTCTCCGAGCACATGAGTTATGGATTGGTCGCTAGTCAGTCGGCGAGATCATACTAGTGTTGGTTCTTCCAAGCGTCCAAGTTGTTGACACAGTTTTGAGATGTTGCTGTCGCCCTAGCATCCGTACACGCTTTCATGATCTGAAATCGCCTGAAGCCTGGATGCCTTTCAGAAGTATAGATGCTCGTCCCAGCCAACTCTTCCTGGTTGGGGGAAGGCCATCCAACTAAAATGTTTGGCTCAAGCGTTGCTCTCAACAGCAGGTGTCGGCT